GGACTGCAACTGACAGAATATTAATCTCTGTTTTCTTTAATTTTGTCCGCCACAAGGAAAGTTCACAACTTACAATCGAACTGAATGTAAGAATAAAACTAAATTTCGTTAATATTAGGTGTGTGAATTAATTTAGTCTATCTGACAGTCAATTGCTGTACTATGTAATTTTCTAATTTCTAATGTCTGCAAAAGGCTTTATTTTTTAGTTTTGATATCTGACAATAATATTCAGTTGATAAACGTTTGGATTTGTAACAATAACATCGTGTTTATCTGATTCGAAAATGACGAAATTCGAACCAAAAAAGCATCATTTCCAGGAAGTTCTTATTTTGTTTTCATTTGAAGAAAACAGCCGCTGAAGCTCATCGAATGCTCGTAGAAGCTTATGGTGAAAGTGCTCCCACCGATAAATCATGCAGAGAATGGTTTCGACGTTTCAAAAGTGATGATTTCAGTGTCGATGACAAACCTCGTCCAGGTCAGCCGAAGAAGTTCGAGGACAAGGAATTGCAGGCGCTAACCGATGAAGATCCGTGTCAATCGCAACATAAGCTCGCGCAATTGTTGAATGTTGATCGATCAACAATTTCTGTGCGTTTGGCAGTCATGGGAAAGATTTACAAAGGAAGATGGATGCCATACGAATTGAAAGAAAGAGACATCAAGAGGCGAAAAGCCATGTCTGAAATCTTGCTTGCCAAGCAAAAATAAGGTTTTTTGCATCGTATTGTGACTGGAGACGAAAAGTGGATATATTTCGATAATCCCAAACGAAGGAAATCCATTAGCGACCCAGGAAAGCCATCCACATTGATATAAAAGCGGAATATTCACGGCAAGAAAGTAATGCTCTGTATATGGTGGGACCAGAAGGGTGTAGTGTATTGATGAACTATTAAAACAGAGCCAAACCATCACTACCGAACTTTACCAACAATTGATTCGTTTAAACAACACATTGGAGAATAAGCGGCCGGAATCTGCAAAAAGACAAAGTGATCTTCCAGCATGATAACGCTCGGCCACATGTTGGAAAGATTGAGAAGGCAACCTTGGAAGCACTTGGCTGGGACATTTTACCTCACTCGCCGTATTCACCAGACATTGTTCCATCCAATTATTACTTGTTAAGATCGATGGCATACGGACTTTCGGACCAGCACTTCAACAATTATGAAGAAATAGAGAAATGGCTCAATGAATGGATCGCTTCGAAGGACGAGTCGTTTTTCCGTCACGGAATGCAACAACTGCCAGACAGATGGGAAAAAATAATAGCAAGCGATGGCAAATACTTTGATTAGTGTACTTTTTCATGTTTTTTCATACTAAAATCTTTTTTGGAAGAAAAACGGACTGAATTAATTCACGCACCTAATATTACGGAAACAGATGCGTTAACAAATAGTAGAAACTGTCCTAAGATAACATTCCTAAGATAAATTTTTATAAAATTTATTTTCTTTTATAAAATAATTTTTAAATTATTCGATTTTCTTAAAAGAAAGAATATCTTATACTTTTCAAATCGTGATTAACGCTTTCCTTCGTTTTTATTTTTCGTTTTTCTCGTTTGTATTTTCAAAATTTATTTTCTAATTTGGGAATGCTCGCGTAATCAAATATTTTATCCTCAAACGTTAAAACACTTCGTTTTAAATTGATTATAATTTAATTTAATAAAATTTTATATAATTTAATATAATAATTAGTTTAAAACACTTCATTCACTATTACGATCGCATTAATCCTTGGTGATCACATTAATCCGTTCATGCCAGACAACATTGCCTTCAACTACTACATTTTGCTGTGCATTCATATGAATTTGTAAAGGAAAATAATGCATATCCCTGTCGCGGCACTCGTCGCGATCATTAACGGAAGTCATAAAAATGATGTGGCAATGTTATTATGTGCATCCATAAACTCATCGAATTAAGCGCTCAACATAAGCGCCTGCGTCTGAAGGTAAGTTATGTATCGCCCTTCCCTACTTCCTATATTTGACCTGTGAGCAAATTGTTTATTTTCATAACATAAAAATTAAACTTCTGATAACATTTTGTAAGAGGAAAAATCGTCTTAGAATTCATCGAAGAATATATCATTTCAAGGACAGCATATCATTCTAAATCACCTTGTATATATCTTTAGTTTCTTATAATCATATTGCTTAAAAATGCACGACATAATTGTCACATATTTCTTTAATGATCCTGATCATTACAATTATATTATTTTTTAGAATTTTATAATTCCTCATCCTTTATATTATAATTTATTCTGACAAAAAAATCAGAAGCTTTAAAGATAAAATTTACACTGAGTTTTATTCAATATTGAATTTTATTTATGTTACCCTGAACCGCTTAAGTCAATCTAATATAACCTAATATAAAGAAAAGATACATATTTTACAACTATAAACAGTGATTTATAAATTGTTCCGATACGTCTGTAGAAACTACAAGATATATTGTACAGCTTACATACAAGAAATAGCAAGTGAAGATAAAAGAACTAATTAAAATAAACTATACTTCTTACATAGCTTACATTCACTTCTTTTATAAAAGAAGAAAATTATGAACTGAATATCTTCCATAGTTTATTACAGGATGTGTTTGTATATGTATTATTATTGTTCATCATAATATAATATTAATGACTAGACATCATGTTATGTTGCTATTTGTATTATCACACAAAGGCATATATGTACCTTTATTTGCTATCACTTTGTTTCTTCAGCAAATTTTGCATCAGGGAACAACGTGAAATTAAAAACGTTCAAATAGCAACGTCGCGTTGCAAGTACAATCTATATATGCACATATACAAGACCCACGCACGCATATATATATTTCTTCTCTTCTGTCACATTAAAATATAAAAATTTGTTTGTGATATGTTATATCTGTTTTTTACACAGATTAGCAATTCTAATAATACTGATTAGACACTGCTGGTGTTTGTGTAAATATATATTTTTGTAAAAAATAAAAAATGAAAAGAAAATTAAAATATGTTTTATCATCCAGATAACCCTTGGTTTTTTATAGATTTCCGTTTAACCCTTGGTTTTTTACAGATTTTACAGTAATAAATTATTTTTGTGTGTTTGTCGTAAAGAAAAAAGATATAAGAAAAAGTTGAAACAATTTTAGTAAAATTTATTTTAACGTATTAATGAAAAGTAGAAACGAAATCTATTAATTGATATGTCATGTCTGCAAATAATTTATCATACAACAGAGATGCAAAGAGTTGTTGCAAGAATATAAAAAAATTATGAAAAATTTTTGCAATTTTGAAATCTATCTGATAAAACATTTAATTCATTTTTACTTTTTTATATACTATCAAAATATAAATTTGTATGTGAATGTTTACAAATATTCTATCAATTAGATATTTATACATTTGCGTACGATAATATATTACTTATACAATCATCATAAAGTATATTTATCATGTTAATGCTACAAAGTAGACTATTTTTTTCTATAATTAAAATAGTGGCAAAGTTAACATTTTTATATTAACAATAACTTTAAATATTTCATTTAATAATGCAAAAAGAAAATAAGCTCCAGACTTACAATCAAAAACAAATAAATGGGTCAGTTAGAACTAGATAATGCAAAATAGTTTACATAGCTGTATTGAGTATAAGTCAATAGTAACCTAATTGACTTCTATTATTTCTGCTTTCCACTTAAATGTCAATGTTGTAAAATGAGCATATAGTTGAGTGTTTTCTATATTTATATAAATTTATATATTTTACATAATTTATATTATAAATATATTGTAAATTTACATATTTTTACTATATTATTATAAACATACATTTATTATTATATACATACATTTATAATATATATAGGTTTATATTATATGAATTTATATAATATATATCAACCCAATTCATGGAAGTGGAAAATATTCATTAGTGTTTTGTGTTGCATTGCTAAATCTTTATTTTTTATTTTCTAATATTTGAGTGTTGAATTCAGATATTAATAATTCAGTGTAACGAAATTTATATTGAATTTATAATCGAATCAAATTAATAAAGCATTATGTAAATATACAGAGTGTTTTAAAAAAAGAAGGTTCAGGACTTTAAAAGCAGATACTACTCACAAAATGGAGTAAAAAGTTTTAATATAGGTCGAAAAATTAACATTACTGAAATTATGAACAATTATTTATTTTAATTGAAGCAAATGACCTGCTCGTTTTTGGTATTTACAACAAATTTTCTACATATTCTCTTCATATTTCTACATACGTTCCACATCTTCGTATCATAGAATTGCAAATTCTTTCAAAAATCCCTAGTTTTCTTTTATTTGACAGGCATTTTGTATTCTTTGATATAATTCGTCTAACATTTAAATAGGTCCTTCAATGAAAGATGAATTGGACGGAATAGACTAGTCTCATAACTGTCTTGCTCTCCTGTAAATCCCCTAGACTTTTTTTATGGGAATTTCTTAAAAGCATAGTGTATTCTTCACTGATACATGACAGATGAATTACATTAGAGAATATAAAATGCCTGTTAAATGGTTAGAACAAAGCCGGGAATTTTAGAAAGAGTTCGTAATTCTATGATACGATGTGAAACGGAAGAAATAAGAGAACATATAGAAAACCTTCTGTAAACTTTGTAAGCACTAGAAGCGAGTAGGTCACTTGTTTTAATTAAAATAAATAATTGTTTATAACTTTGGCAATATTATTTTTTTATCTATATTTATTGATTTTTTCCTATTCTGAAAGTATTATTTGCCTTTAAAGTCTTGAATCATTTTTTTTTAATGTTCTATACAATTATATAAATATAAATAATTTAATACCAAATATATTTTTCTATTACCAGATAACTGAGAAATTAAAAAACAGAATGACAGGTTGTGCAATAAGTATGTTTTTCAAAAATTCTCTATAATTCACAATTTCAAGTTTTCCGTTCTCTTTAATTTTTTACGACTCTTATTTTATCACTATAGCCATTTTATGCCCGTTCTTATCAATGCATTCAGCAAAGCTACTTTATAACTGTTGTAAATTTATAAATTTGATTAGTATATGCTTTTTTTAGATTTAGTCGAAGTTAAAAACATATACTTATCGATTTACGAATTTTAAAATAGTTGCAAAGCAGTTTTTTCTGTTAAACAACAGCCGTTGTCGATTAAACCTTAATCTGAATTTAAACAAGTTAAACTTTATTGAAAGTCAAATTCATATTAAGGTTTAATCGAGTTTGGTAGAAACAAGCCTTATATTGTGAAGTTAAAAAGTAAAAAAAATACATATTTAAAATTCTTGCAAAGTAATACTTATTTCCTTATATATTTTGTCGATTTTAATTATGTATTTATAATAAATATTATGTTTTATATTTATATTATGTACTGTAAATCTCAGAAAAGGTCCAAAAAAGAACCAAAACCAAAATTAGTTTTCTGTTTGCACATGTACAAAATTTTGAAAAATCTGATTGTCGTAACTATTATGTACTGAGGTTATTTACGTCTAATTCTAACCAACCCATCCATTGATATAGATTGTACCTGCAAAATGGTATGCTACATGAGTCATGTCATATAGTCTTGTTTGCAAAAATAATTTTTGCTATTGATGAAATTCAATGATGAAATTCAAAATGCTATGATACAATGACTATGAAATAATAGCTTGTACAGTATCCACCACAGGTTTACGACATACTGCGCATGTTTTCATGTTTTTTGCACACTCGGCACAGGCAACTAAATGTCCACATGGTACAAATACCTTCCTTAATTCTCTATTATAACAGATTTTGCACATTCTCGCATCATCGATTTTGCCATGCAAATTATTTGATGGAGATTTGTTAATAGATAATTGATCATTGCTGAATTTGTTTGATTCTGTACAGGATCCTATACTCTCAAAGCCACTATCTTGTGAACCTGTTGAATTTTGAGAGCTTGGTCCAGGATAACACTCGTCATCAACTTTCTCATCTTCATCAGTTACAGATTGCCTATAATTCTCCTAAACACAAATATTCGAAAATTAATATTATTTATATTTAGGATATTTTATTCTCTTATAAATATAAATATATGTTAAAAATATATAGAAGAAAGTTTATAAAAGGTAAATAAAAGATATCTTATTAAATAATTACCTGTTTGCTGCTAGATTTCCCAGTTACTTTGTTTACATATTCCTGTCCTTGGACCATAAGCAAATAACAACATTTAGAAAACCACTTAGCATGTTGTTCCCAAGGATCATCTTCTGGCTCCCAATCTTTTAATCCTCCTCCACAATAGTAGCACAACGTTTGATCACCATTTCCTGTGTAATAAAAACCAGCAGCAGCTAATTGTTCCTTGGTTTGTGGGATTGATATAGGCCACATTTCAAATGTACGTAATCTGTCATCGTAATTAGCAAATTGAGGGTGTTTTGGATCTGCACGTCCCCCTAAGTTAAGTGTCACTGTGTCTTGTATATGCACATTAGTGTCTGAAGTACCATTAGGACAGTATTCTATACCATAAGGTCCACACACATCTCTTCCTCTAGGCACAGATGGTGGGATTGTGCTGGGATCTACACCTTTGGGTACATTGCCGCATGGAATACCACGAATAAACCTACATTTTCCAGACCACCGTTGATGATCAACCATCGGGTCATCATCCGGCAACCACTGACTAATTTCCACATGACACTCAAAACACCTCACTTTATCACTCTCTCCTGTATAATAAAATCCTGCTGCTGCAAGTCTTTCTGGTCTTACAGATACACATGGCCAATCTTTGTAACTTTCTAAGCGTGCATCTTCAAAGTGATAATCAATATTGTCAATTTCATCAAAAAATATAGATGAACTTTGTGGCAAATGTAGATTTGAAGGAGACTTGAATAATCCATCCGTCAATAGACTGTTGCGTTCGATGCATTCAGTCATTTTTACAATATATTAATATATATATTTTTTGGCACTAGAATCTGTAAGAGAAAATAATCCAGATAATAAACATATCGAAGAATTATTATATATTTTCCAAACTTAAAAAAAAAATATATATACAATTAAGACTTGTGCAAGGTGGTACAATAAGTATATCAAAGAATAAAAATTGAAATATCACATAGTGAGACTATATCACCAATAAAAGCATTATTAAAAAAATTCTACATCAATTATGCAACAATTATTCAGATAATCCAGTAATTCTGACAACAATATGAGTGTTGATACTACTGAGATATTTATTTCTCATGTCAGATAAATTATAGTATTTAATCTATAATGCAATATTAATTTTGATTCATAATCAGTTGTTTTTTCAATATATATATATATACATATACATATATTGACAGCAGTATATATTTCAAGGTATTATTATAGTAACACATTGTAATAATATGTAGTAATAATATATATTTTAGGTTACTATTATTAATGTACATGCAATATTATATATTTATTCAATATTTCTTCTATTTTATATATATTTAAGAAGCATTATTAATAATGGAATATTTAAGTTACACAAATTTATGTAGGATTATTAATTTTTAACATCCTGTTGATTAAATTATCCAAAAATAAATTTTTCCTTTATTCAAATACTTTATTTGAATGTATCATGTTTATCATTTAGTATAATTAAGTAATTAAAATAGTAAAATTAAGTAAGTAAAGAAAGTATAATTGATTTTTCATATATTTAGAAATTAAAAAAAATATATACAAAGTGTTTCATAAAATGATAGCCAAACTTTAAAAGAATATTCTAACCACTGTAAGGATGAAAAAAGGTCATATAAACATGGGCTTAAAAACATTTCTTTTCCAAGTTATAAATACTTTTTACTTAAATACATCTTCAGTATATTTCAGTTATCATGAGTTCCAGAATAATAATTAATCATCAATAGATGAAATGGCACAGAAAGACCTATTGCTTGTCCAGCACAACTTCTCAATTTAAATCCTTTAGATTTTTATTTTATTTATGAGGACATCTTAAGACTCTCATTTATGGGACTCATGTTGTTATTGTAGAAGTACTCCAAAAATTGTATTATTGTTTTAGGTGATAAAACACAAAATACTCCGGGAATTCTTGAACATCACCGATAATTCATAAGATGTTGATACAAAACATGCATTGATACAGAAAGACATAATTTTCTAATAATTTCTAATAATTTTCTAATAATTTCTTTAATAAACTGTTCTTACCAAAGTCTATTATAAATAGAAAGTATTTATAACTGAGGAATAAAGCGTTTTTAGACTCATATTTATATGATCTTTTCATCTTTATAGAAGAGTGAATAGAATATATATAATTCACACAAAGTTTGGCCACCTATTTCTGAAACACCCTGTATATACATACACATATGTGCGATAAATTCATACCACTTATGTCTCATATGCAACGATCACTAGTCAGAAAACTCGTGCATTTATTAACGATGTTAACTATGATATTGCAATTGGCTATCCACGAAAGTTTCTACAGCGAAACCGTTGATAAAAAATTTACTTCCTCTGTGGACAATGAACGCTGCTAAAGGAAACGACAGCTGCGGTACCAGGCATGCGAATGCGACGTTGCCGTTAACATCGTACGTATTTATGTTCCTCTTAGGAAAATGAACTGTGATAGCATGGCCAATGGTAAACATGAGACCCGCGTTATTCAACTTATCTCTCATAGCGATATATGTTACCGCTTTATTTAATTTTATGGTTAATTGTTAAAATTTTTAATTAGTTGTTTATCGTAGAAATTTAGTGAGTTTACATATAAATATAAAATTGTGTAAATTGAAATATTTTATTGAAAAATTAAATATAAATTTTTGTTGAGAACGACTGTTTCACTTATGTAAATAACTTAACTTCTAAATAATTGAGAAATATTATTTGACATTTCACATTATCATAATAAAAATACTTTAATAATAGAGCTCCAATGCATCCAATGTATACTTTTAATAAATTATTAAAATGTCCGTTTCTAATAATTTTGGTTAATTTAACCAGCTAGTTATTACAACAGAATTTACCAATTGTATCTGTCATTAATCAGAATTGACAAAAGCGATTGGTCAATTCTGATGGAATAATCAATTGTGGTTAAATTAACCACAATTGGTAGAAATGGGTATAAGATTTTTTTTATTTGAATCAAACATAAGAAAAAAGGATGACAAAAGTCAATTGCAGCACTAATTTATATGCATCTATAATATAATTATTTGTATCTATATTGTAATATAGACCTGTTAGGATTATTTTTAATTTTGTAATTACAGCTTAAGATGACCATGCATTACATTATAAAAATGTTGATATTAAAAAAATATAAAATCCTATTGCAAATGCTTATAAATAATAATTTATACCTGCATGTATAGTATATTAAAATGTATGCAATTGGTTTTTATCATTTTTTTTCTTTTTGTATTGAGTGCTAATTTTACTTTATTATACTTTGTCTCTTACTCCCTTCTTTTTTCTCATATGCATCTATTCTCTTAAATATGTTAAAATTGTGATGATGTTCACAGACAGAGAAAATTGTGATAACTTTAAAAAGACATAATTATGATAACTTTAAAAAGACATAATTAGAGCTAAAATTTTTAGAGCTATTTTTATCAATAAAAGAGAGTTTAAAATGTTGGTCTTGTAATATTTTGACTATTGGGAATAAGTATTTTTATAATGCCATGAGAATAGAGACATGTAGTGAAGACACAATGGGTGCGTTCACGACACTCAACAGTTGCACAACTGTTGAGTAATTTATCAATGCTATTGGTCTGAATGTAAGGATCTAACAGTAAGGACCAATAGTCATTAATCATTCACTGAGCGGTTTTCTCCACTGAACGCACCCATTATAGCATGTTATATGAAGTTGATTATTACTGTGTCTTATATGTCACATTTTCTTAAGAGAAACTTGTATGTCACATTTTCTTAAGAGAAAATAAATAATAGCTTTTAGAAGTCTAATTCTAATACCATTTTATAAGTCTTATATGCTTATAATAAAATTTAAATATATATATAATTACATATAACTTGAATGAAATTTACTTATAATAAACAATATTCATAATAACTATAAAATTTACAAAGAAACTAATATTTTATAAAAATAAGTTTATATAAATTTTTTTATAAAAATAATTTCTTTTATAAAATATATTATAAAAAAAATTTAGATTTCTCTTCTTTCTTATAAATGGCTTTACTAATCTCAATATAAAGCCACACCTATATCTTTTTATATTTATTCCAACGGAAACTTGGCTTTTTTGTCTTTATGCATTGTGACGCGTAGAATGCCATGAACTTCGATAAAGCGGGCGTCGCCCGCTGATGAATGTATCTCGTTAATAAAAAGTTACGTTGGAATTTCGTCGCACTAATTTCAAATATTAGATTTCTCAATTATTCTAAAGTCATTTTTTATCTTCCGTGAACTTCTAAACGTTTTTTCTTCAAACTTTTAACAATAGAGCGAATGAAAAACAAGATCGTTCATTACTTATATTTTTGGGTCTTGAAAGTCAATGTAAGAATAAATTAATTTCGATTGTCAATCGCTAAAACACAACTACCGATTTCAGGGATAAGTTTGCGAAATACGTCAGTGTTTTAATAAAATCCCGATACATATCGCGAGTGACGCATGAAAGTGTGACCAAAGTACATAGTCGCAATAAACTCAACGTGCTATAGCAACGATTCGCTTATCATCTAGTGAATTATAACGTGACATCAGCACAGTATTTTCCTTTGAATTTTGAGATATCTGTTTAACTATTCGAAAAGCTGACAATGAGGCGCATGATCAAAAAGCACATGATTGAATGATCTACCAACTGTCACTAATGTTTATCATAATTTTACCTGCAAATTTTGTCTTTTGCCACATTATAATAAATATAACATAGACACCTAAAAGATTTCATCAATAAGGAGACAAGAGTTTATGCATTTTGTTTTTAAATGATTTTTTTTTAATATGAATTAAAATAGACTCACTCAGTCAATTGTACAACTAACACTAATCAATTTTATAAAATTTGTCTGACAATGGAGAAAAAGAATATATTATATCGTATACATTTTAAAGAATTTATAGCTAGAATAATGGGTTAAAGGTTATAAGAAAAATTATAATCAAATGTTATCTAAGAGAAATACAATTGTTAATCTTATTGATAAGTATACTCATAGTATACTTATCAGATATAAACAAAGAATACAGACCAAGTCAAAGCATGTACATATAGGGCCAGAGCACTGACTTCTGCATAACGCATAATACACAATGCATAAGAGAATCAACCAATCAGAGTTCTTCATTTCTGTCCTGAAGAAGGAAATGAAGAAAACTAATTGGTTTATTCTCTTATGCGTTATGTATTATATGTTATGCAAAAGCCTGTGCTCTTGCCCATATTGTACATACATAGAAAGTATTTTATTTATATTACTCTACTTGATAGATACAAAGTTAAATATATCTGATTGAATATGATAAAATATATCTGAATTGACAAACATAAAAAGAAAAAAGATAGATGACAGGCAACACATACAAATGGAATTATGGAATATTTGTCAGATTGTAAATACGCATAAATAAGTCCAACATAATCTACATAAATAAATCTACCTCCGATATCTCGAAATAGGCAGGAAACATCTGATTATTTTTTTCTTTCTTACATATAAATTTATGAAATGATATACAGAAAATACATAGTGAATAGTTTGTTAGAATAACACGGAAACAATGGAAAATATTCGAAAATAGAAACATACTTCTAAAACTAAAAAAAACTCGGCTGTTCATGTATCGATCTTTGATTAGACAGAACAAGAGGACAGAGAAAAACTGATGAGTGCGTGACACCACCCACATTTATTCGATAAATTAATATCAGCTGATTATCGGCTTTGAATCATTAAGCAAATATCTGATAGCGAATAAATAGAAAGCTGATATTTATGAGGTGCCGATAAGTTATAGTAAACAAACTTCAATCTCGCATATCGGCTATCAGCCGTCAATATCATGACGGACCATTTACACTTTTTGCATTCATATCGTGCATACAGTTTTATTATTGCGCAATTTAATATTTCAGCGCTAAGAGTGCCCTACTTTTCGCGTGAACACTTATACGACTCTCTAAACGAGAATGGAAGACATTCGCATCCTTCAAGTTTTACGTAATTAAAGAAAAATCACTTATTTCTTAGCAAGTTAGTAAAGTTAAATAATGCAATATTAACGCACCCACATCAACTTGGTAGAGTAGCTGCTAACTGTTTGCTTTGTCCTTCTGTGTAAATTTTTGAACTCTATTATTGTTGCTCTTTTATTTTGTTGCAAGAGGAATACCTCGTACGGATATCGTTGTATTGCATCCAACGTAGCGCGAATGATGCGACTCACTATAAGAGTTCTGACAACTGTCAACGTCGCAATATGTTGTATATATGTACACTCATACAACACGTTTGAGTTTTGTTAAGACTTGAACATCCGATGAAATACCGCAGACAAGGTGATCTTTTTACTGCGATTACTAGAGCACGATATAGCAATGGCGACTACATAAGCCATATAGCACTCTCGCTATTGCTTACTATCGTATGACATATGACGAATTCGATTAATGTGCATTTACCATACACTAGAGAGAACTAAGAACAGCTATTTCGTAAGATTTGCTGGGGACATATTTCTCGTCGCGCCCTCTGACAAAGCATATGCAAATTACGTCTATTACACACATTTTTTGGTGGTAACGATAAAACCTCTCGGTTCGTGTCTTTTCTACTTTCATGTGATAGCAGTAAGATAGAAGATAGAGTAATTATATATTGGGTTGGCAACTAAGTGATTGCGGATTTTAAATAAGAATGAAAATTCAAAATTTTAAATTTGCTTTTTTAAATTTTTTTCAATGCATGTATGCGATACATTGAGCTTCTCTGCAATATCACGTGTTGTGCTATAACGATCTGAATCGATAATGGTCTTGATATGGGTCTCATCGACTTCAAGTGGACGGCCAAATCGTTGAGCATTTTTCAATAAAAAATCACCAGAACGAAATCTGGCAAACCAATTTTGACACTGCCTTTCTTTCAAGGCTTCATTCCCATATACGGCACATAACTTCTTGTGTGCTTGCGATGCGTTCTTGCCTTTTCGGAAATAATACAATAAAATATGTCTGAAGTGCACGTCTTGTTCTTCCATTTTTAAATTGGGATAAAAACAAAACTAAAGAACTAATCGATATAATTTTCATACTAAATGAAAGGTAGAAGTCCAAACAATAAAAAAAATATAGATTAGGTACTTTGAACATGTTAACGAAACAAAAGAAAGTGTAAAATCCATCTGTCGATAAAATCCGCAATCACTTAGTTGCCAACCCAATAGTTTAGAGGCCGCATTTCAAATATTAATAAATTTATATCCAATCGATGCATGAAACAAAAATCTGACAGAAAAAAAGTCGCTCTATCCTGCCAAATGAGATATTAATTGTTAAAATTGAGAACTATTTAGGTTATGAAATTTGTCATATTGACGATACCTAGATAGCACACGGATGTACATTGGACGTCCGTTATATGTCCATTTTTTTTACAAAAGACGTCCATAGGACGTATGTTTGTCACAACTTCGGACATAGGACATAGGACATAGGACGTAGGACATAGGAGGTCCGATGGACGTACATCGGACGTCCTACACAGGGGCTGTATTCCGTACCTGTATATCGACAGTTGTCGGTGTCGTTAGCGGCATTGCGCAGGTTTTTCATATAACAAAAAAGCTGCGCAATACTGCTAACGACACCGACAACTATCGGTACGCAAGTACGGAATACAGCCCCAGTGGTGCGATTCTGTAACTCGTTATTGGAGTTAACGACAGTTTCGTTATTGTTGCGCAGCTTTTCTACGGTATACAAAAGCTGCGCAACAATAACGAAAGTGTCGTTAACTCCAATAACGAGTTACAGAATCCCGCTACAGGCTGCGATTCTGTAACTCGTTATTGGAGTTAACGACGATTTCGTTATTGTTGCGCAGCTTTTCTACGGTATACAAAAGCTGCGCAACGATAACGAAAGTGTCGTTAACTCCAATAACGAGTTACAGAATCGCGGTACAGTGCTGCGATTCTGTAACTCGTTATTGGAGTTAACGACAGTTTCGTTATCGTTGCGCAGCTTTTTTACGGTATACAAAAGCTGCGCAACGATAACGAAAGTGTCGTTAACTCCAATAACAAGTTACAGAATCGCAACACAGGGCCTCAATTCTGCACACGCTTACCGACAACTATCGATATCGTTAACGAGTTGCGCAGGTTTTCTACGATATACAAAAGCTGCGCAATACAGTTAACGACATCGATAGTTGTCGGTAAGCGTGTACAGAATTGAGGCCCAGTGCTGCGATTCTGTAACTCGTTATTGGAGTTAACGACAGTTTCGTTATTGTCGCGCAGCTTTTCTACGGTATACAAAATCTGCGCAACGATAACGAAAGTGTCGTTAACTCCAATAACGAGTTACAGAATCTAGTGGCAGTGCTGCGATTCTGTAACTCGTTATTGGAGTTAACGACACTTTCGTTATCGTTGCGCAGCTTTTGTATACCGTAGAAAAGCTGCGCAACAATAACGAAACTGTCGTTAACTCCAATAACGAGTTACAGAATCGCAGCACTGGTCCGATGTCCAATAAAGACATCCTTGTTACGTCCAATTTATGTCCACGGACGTAAATCGGACATTCGGACATACGGACATAAATTGGACGTGAAACGTATATCCATTGGATGTCCAGTGCTGTCTGGGTATATAAGGTCTGTTTTTTATCGCTGAACTAGTGTACATACACTCAGGGAACATAAAAAGAAATAGATATACATCTAGTGAAAGGGAGAGAAGAAGAGAATAAGTGTAAGTTAGTACAGCCAGTTCAGCAGTAGAAAACAAACCTATAGGCTCCAAAATTCACTGCCAGTACTGAAACTACATAGTTTGTATCCCGTATATTATAGATTTTCAGTGCTGGCAGTGAATATTGGAACGCAGCCATAATGATATGAACTTGCTCTATGGCCGTATGCGCATGCTCTGTGCCCATATGTGCATGCGAAAAGAGCGCGAATTTGAAACATATGTGAATACGTCTACTAGATATTCATCTTATATACTAAGTCTAATGGGCCTTCTACAATAAGCTATTAGTCATAAGTTGTAACTAAATTGACCAACCACAGTCGATTATTTCAAAAATAATAATTTGGTTACAACTTATGACTAATAGCTTATTGTAGAAGGCCCATAATCCTACTAAAATTAGATTGAGATTATTATAATTTGACTGAGTGTATATATTACACATATACAGAGTGTCCCATTTTAATGTCCCACCTCAAATAATTCTTCAGTATCGAAGTTTCAAGGAAAATGATCTGAATAAAAGTTGTAGGGATTTAAGTGAGCTACCTTATGATGACTTGACTTTGACCTCTATTTTCAAGGTCATTTGAAGGTCAACTTGCGTTTTTAAAATGAGAACTCTTATTTTTTATTACGTTGTTTTTGTCTACTAGCTAATTTGAACAACTTTTGTCTAAAATATTTTTTTATTCGTCTAATATTTTTTTAGATATTTGAGGAAAACTTAATAACTTTTTCAATATTTAACTTACGATATCTCGCTAACTATTTGTCGGATGAAAAAGTGATACTACCCAGTAAACATATATGTCTAAAAGACGACTAAAAGATTTCTTTAAGACGTCTTTTAGACATAAAAGTCTAAAAGATATCTTAAAGAAATCTTTTAGACATCTTTTAGACATGTATGTTTACTGGGTAGACTTTATGCTTTATCGAGTCTCAGGAATATATTGTTATAATAGCGCTCTGATTTTTGTTAATTTGATGATTTTGAAATTTCCAAAAATGTTTTAGACAAAAGTTATTCAAATTAACTACTAGAAAAAAACAGTGTAATAAAAAAGAATGATTCCCATTTAAGAAACGCAAGTTGACCTTCAAATGACCTTGAAAGTAGAGGTCAAGGTCATAGTCAAAGTCATCATAAGATAGCTCACTTAAATCCCTACAATTTTTATTCAGATCATTTTCCTTGAAACTTCAATACTGAAGAGTTATTTGGAGTGGAACATTAAAATGGGACACCTTGTATATTCTTCAACAAATTCTAAGACTATTATTCCTCTTGCAAAATGTTATCCAATGCTTAGTTACTGAATTATTAAAATAAATAGTTCGTCTGTTACGAACCGACTACAGAAGGCAGGCGGGGGCGGAACGATTGATCGTTTGCGCGCGCGCCGCATGAAGAAAGGAATGTTCATAATTTGCCATCAAATCAGGCGTAAAATTACAAATAAAACTCGTTAATCTTACGGGAGCAAAGGTGAGCTAATAAGTGATAAAAACTGTTAATCTCAAAATAAGCAATCTTTACAAAAGAATATAAGTTCATAGATTCACTTAAAAGTAAGAACATCTCATATTTTCTAAACATAATTAACACTCCGTTCTTCTTGTTCGCATTTTCATAGTTTATTTTGCAGTTAAAAAAAGCTCACGTAATATCGAATATTTTACTCCCAAACGTTACGTTATAATATTGTATCCTACTAATTTATAATACTATATTTGCTATTACACCTGCGACAGGTGTAATAGCAAATATAGTATTATAAATTAAACAATTTTTAAATTTTAAAAATGTGTTAATGTGAAAATATGAATGAAACAAATTTATTTGTTTAACATAATATACGTGAACTAGTTAAGCTGGTTTGAATTAAATTAACTAGTTCAACGAAACGTGCATATTTGCATTGAAATATATGAGTATGGAAGTGAGAGGTTGATATACGTTTGATACATGTTGATACTGTCATGTTTTTGTCAGGGTCTATGCTCTTCTAGCAATATAATAGTGTTATATAGGGTGTCCGGTAATTAGCTATCAACTCGAAATATGAAGGTAGATTAGATTAAGACAATCATAAAAGTCCCATACCGTTTTGCGAGATTCGCAATAATTATCGAGTTATTAATTACAGAAATCTGACGAATGAGCGCGCGCTGAGATAGTTGATTAGAGAAGCGTCGTAGCCTCTTAGGTTACAGCGCGGCCCAGTCGACCTAGCAACTGTTGGCGGTGTGCGGCGAAATAAAACAACGAATAGCGGCGCGTTATCCTTCCTCTCGCCGCACACCGGCAATAGTTTTTTAATCGACTGGGCCGCGCTGTGGCCTGAGCAGCTGCAACGCTTCTCCAATCATCTATGTCAGCGCGCTCCCACTCTTCAGATTTTTGTTATTAATAACTCGATTATTATTGTAAATCTCGCAAAACGGTATGGGACTTTTATGTTTGTCTTAACCCTTAATCTACCTTCACACTTCGGGTTGGCAGCTAATTACCGGACACCCTATATATGAGATATACTATGGTTCATATTTTGATCTCTCTTATCTCTATATCGCTAAAAGTGGCTCTAAAAGTGGCTAATAAGCTTTCTGATTAGCTTCTGATAAGCCATTTTTGAAGTCACTTTTATTGATAAAAGAGAGTTCAGAATATA